CTCTCCCACTATCTTCCACATCCTAATGACTTAACCAACCAACCAATGGAGGTGCTAATTGTTTTTCTCAGCCTCTTGTAATTATCAAACTAGCTACTGGCTGTCTCTCTCCCCCCCTCCTTTTTTTCCTTCCCCTATTTATTCTTGTATCTGGACTTCTCATACTCCTGTCATTTGAAGAATCCCCTTCCCCTATTTATTCTTGTATCCTGACTTCTCATACTCCTGTCATTTGAAGAAGTGGGTTATGCCCATGAAAATCTTGATACCATCTATTTATGTTTTGTTAGTCTTTAAGATGCTACTAGACTATTTGTTGTTTATGTTTTCCCTAAACAAACAGATAGCATTGGCTCTCAAATACTTTTCTTCCATCTTCCTCTAGCTAGAAACCTTGCCCCTTCCTCTTTGATGAAGATTTGAACCCTGAAATGCATGTGTTTCTCCTCTCTAGACTAGATTACCTTGATTTACTATACTCCGCGTTGAATGTGGAAGCACTGCTGTGACCCAGCTGGTGCGGAATGCAGCCACCTCAGCAGGATAGGTTGCAGTAATGTATGTTTCCCCCATCCCCTTTTTCTTCATCTGTCTTCTCCTAGTCTCCTTTCGGTGACACGTTACGACTTTGATCCTGATTTTTGGGGCCACCTATGCACTGAGCTGCCACTGCATCTGTGACTGCATCTCCATCTCTCATTTAAAGTCAGTGAGATGTGAATATGTACTTAAGATTTGTCCTGAATAGGAACAGATTTAAACATCTAGTTAAGTGCTTTCCTGAATTGGAACCTTTGCAAGAACTTTGTGCTCCGTAATAGTAACTAATAATTTCGTAAAAAATTAAAAATTTCAGCATAATCATGTAGATATCTCTGTCTTAAAAAGTACCAATTACAAACAAGTAAGGGTTAATAATGGTCAGTCACCAAGAGTTTTGTTGATTTGGTTGAGGAAAACATGCAAAAATTAGATGTTTATCTAAACTTATCTTAAACTGCTTTGGTCTAGAATTTTTCTTGTAATGTCTTAGAAAGAGCAATGAAAGCACACACATTCTCACATATTCATAGCATAAACCAGCATTTAGGGTCAAATTCTGAAAGGTTCTGAGCAGTGTTCCCTCTGATTATTCCATCCGTGCACAGAATAAATTTTGCTATGTGCACCAAAGCATGTGCAGATGTGCACCACCACTAGAAACACATGCTGCCAGCTGTGGGTGCTGAGGGAGCTTTGTTAATCAGCTAGATGGCATTTGAATCTCTCCTGGATGGTCACCCAAGCTCTCAGGTTACAAGGAACTTAGGTGCTGAGTCAATGGGAGTTGTGAATTCATGCTCATCACCTTTTAGAATTTGGCCTTTAACTTGCATGTGCTGGTGCAATGTAAATATCTCATTGAACATAAATCTCTTATCAAGTAGATTGTCTTCACAGAAGCTCCTTGGACTTGCAAGCAATGGAGAGAAGCCTGCATTTGGATGTCCCTCCCATCTTCTGTCTCCACTGATTCTGTGAAATAATTTTCCTGTTTTTTTTTTTAAGTAATTTTGTTCTTCTTGTCTTTACCTACTATATATCCTAGAACTCAGGACAGTTAGAGTAGTAGTTTGCATGTAATTCATGTCATGCTGTCAGGTATCCTATCACAAGCCTTCATTCTTCCAAAAATAGGGGAGGAAAAAAGACTTTTGCCTTGTGTGCCTTGTATGAAATGCCTTTTATTGCACTAATTTGAAATGATTTAATGTGATAGACAGCAGTTTAACAAAACAAAATCTCATTAAAATCTGTTTGCACTTTGCCCTGAATCTCCTTTGTATAATACGATAGTAAAGCTTCCTGTGACCAGACGGTAACCTGCGGTAACCTGTGGTGTGTGTACATTTATGAGCAATGAATAAAATCATTGTTAACATTCTTAAATGTTGGCATCAGTGCTGTGCTAATAACATTTGAAAGTTTCTGCTTTATCAGCAACAATGACTGGCAAATAATCAGCTGTTGTGTAATGGGATGCTCAGAAATAGCTGCTGAAGAAAGTTGAGTAAGCTTCATGCAAAAAGACACTGCTGCATTTATGATGACACTATTTTTTGTTGGGTAAGGATGACACGACTGTTGTTTTTGCTTTTTAAAGATACAATACAATTAAGAATTATCAGTTTTCCCACACATATCATCAAGCCACTGAAGCATAAATGCCAATGACTGTACCCCCTTAAATATTGAGTGACTTCCGCTGTCTTGGCAGTTTATGGGTATGAATGCATGTTTAATACTGCTGTATGGTTTGTCATGTGACTGCAATTCTTACAGAGATTGCATGCATCTGAGACAATAGTTGATAAGCACTAAACTCTTTGTTTTAGCCAAAATGCTGATTTTTAGAATATTTTGAAATATGTATTTATAGCAGTCATGTCATCTTTCATGCAATGTGTACCTTTCTCTACAAGAAAAGTTCTTTTCAGTGTGCATGTATGTATTCTATATCTAATGGTGCCACCAGGGGAGACCTCAGGATTAGAAATCGCAAAGAACTAAGGTTTGCATTAATAGAGAAATAGTGTGTGATTGTATAAAACAAATGACTGGGTTCTATACACACAAAGAGCACATAGAAATTAAACATTAAATTGTGTAATGGGTGTGTGACTAGTTTAAAACATATATGGCATCAACCAAGAAATATTGCTATGTGGATGGAGAGATTGCTAAAATAGACTCATCCTGTCACTGAAGGGTGTGTGTTTTTTATAATCACAGTAGTATTCCAAATAATAAATACAACTGCTGATAAAAAAAAAAAAAGTCGGAATCTTAGTTATTGTTTTTTTGTATTAAAAAAGTAGTGCTTGATAACTGCAGTATGTTGTTTCTCTTAGACTAAAATCTGCATAAATAAATGTTAACACAATAAATGTTAAAGAACGGTGAAGCCTGACAATCTTTTCTATGTTCTTTTTCCCAAAGTTTCTCTGTGTTCATTGTCTGTTTCTCAGGCTGAACATGCAGTAAAAACAGTTTAAATATATTCTGCATGCCTGGATATTTTTATTAGTTTAGGGCCAAATCAGCATTTTGAATGCTTGAAACCAAGTAAGCCTACAGCATTTGGCCCTCATTTTATAAGTGAGAATATTACAGCGAAGTGGCTAATTATCCAACTAAAAAGTTGATTAATACTTACAATACTTTTCTCTTTGATCTGTCTAATTCTTTCTGCTAGAAAGTGAATTTTTATAGAGACAGTAAGCAAGTGTGGTTCTGTTGTCCCTTGTGTCTAAGCAGTTTACGCTTTGCCTACACACATTTATAACACTTTTAACTGTATTGTTATAGTTGAAGTGCTACATCCCCTGAAGTATGCAATTACAGTAGTATAAGGGAGCTTTATGCAACTATAACTAGTTTCTCTGTGTGGTGGGGAATAAACTATACCCATGGGCATCAGGTGAAAGCCCAGCTGGGGAAGGCAAGACCCAGCCCCGCCCCTTCTGCCTGAGGCCCCGCCCCTTGAATCAAGACCCACCCACCTGCCTGGCTACATGGAGAGCTGGGGCTATCATGATGCTCTCAGCTTGGCCTTCCCCAGCAGCTGGGGAAAGCTGCGCTGCCCCACCGTGGCCCCATCCTCTCCCTCGTCCCCTAGTAGCCAAACTGCTGAGCTGGGCTGCCTTCCCTGGGGGCTGGAGGGAGCTGGGCTGCAGTTCCTCGGTGGCCAGACGGAGCCGAGCTGCTGCTTTGCAGTTCTAGCCTTCCCTGGCAGTGACCCCAGCCTTAGGCAGTCGGTCATGTAGGCAGTTTTGGGAAGGCTGTGCCTTCCCTTGCCTACATTACTGACCACCCATGACTACATCAGTATTGGGCAGTGGTTTTCAGTTGAAAAAAATTATTCATGCTTGTGACCCAATATAATTTCACTAGAGTTTGGCTCGGGGGGTGGGACTGAGGATGAGAGCCTTGAGTGTAGGAGCGGGAGCCGGCTTTGTGGGGGGTCAGGGCTGGGGCAGGAGGGGCTTACCTTGAGCGGTTCCCAGTAAGCGGTGCAGCAGGATACTAAGGCAGGCTTCTTGTTTCGCCTGGCACCACAGATCATGCTGTGGCCCAGAGGCAGCAAGCAGCAAGTTCCCAGCCAATGGGAGTGCAGAGCTAGTGCTTGGGGCCAGGGCAGTATGAAGAGTCCTGTGCGCTGTCACCCCCATCTCACAACACCTAGGAGCTAAGCCTAGGTGCCAGGAAGGCAGGTAGCCTTAGCACTCCCATTGGTCACCTGATCCTACTGCAGCAGTGAAACTCAGTGCCTGACATTCAATGGCCCAGTACTGGGTCATGACCTGTAGTTTGAAAACCACTGATGTAAGGTACCTATAATTTGATGTAATTAGATGTAATTAGATGCACTAGAGGATGTTCTGATGTAATTACTTTGGTTAAAAAGATCACCTCCCTAACTAAAATAGTTACATTGATATAAAATCTGCATAGACCAGACCATAATGTTGCATAAGAAAATTGTTCCGTGAGAACAGAGGGTGAAGTTTACTTTTATGTATAGAATCATCAGAAAGGTTTATGTACCATGTAAGCCCCAAGTTTGTGCTAGTGTTCTGCATAGAGGTCATATACATTGTGAAAAAGGTTTTTCCACATACTTGCACAAATCATAGGTGTAATTCAACCGTCTTACAGCCAAGCTACATATCTTTGTACTAAGGAGATGAGTAGCATGTAAAATAAATCTATTTGTGTTGTGAGCCTTTGAAAGAAGACCTGCCAGAATGGGAGAAATCAAACGGACAATTTCTTTAAATTACTGATTTTTTTTCTCCATCAATCACTTTGAACTGCTTTTATAAAACCATAAATTGAATCTGAGCATAATGGTTCACTTGAGAAAGATCTTTGGAAATTTATTAAAGGGTGAAAACTTGAAAGATAGTCACATGCAGTATATTTTAGTCATAATTTGACATCTCTGTTTGTTTTTGTAGGCTTTCAAAACTAAGGATGGCTACCTGGTGGTGGGAGCTGGGAATGATCAGCAATTTGTCACCGTGTGTAAGGTAATGATGCTTAAGATTAATGCCAGTGGGAGCTGTGGGTGCTGCATACCTTTGAAAACCAGACCTCAAAGTTTGGATGGTTTAAATTGACCAAAATATTCCTAGCTTTGTGGGCATCATATAAGCCACACACTTGAGCCCTTTTGAAGACTGAAGACCAGATAGTTGTGTTATTTAATTAATGCTTAATTCAGCGACAGGTATGCGACAGGTAGGAATTTTCAGCTAGAAATGGGAGAATCTTGTGGCATTCTAGTGATAGTTTAGTTCAGATTCCTCTGGAACACTATTCAGCCTGAAAACATTAAAAAAGGGGCATTGTCACCCTTTCCAGGACTATGAACACAAAAGCAGGCCAACTGAAGTCACACACTTAGTTACAGATATGCTGGATTACATTGCTGAACTGAGCCTAAAGTAATACATGGGGTCAAATGCCTTGCTGAATCTGGGCCTAAGAAAAAGTACATCCATTTTCTATATCCTGGTTTGGTTGAAGTGCCAAAGAGAATCTTAGATTAATGTTTGCATATTCAAGCCTTTTATTACCCTGTCTTTAAATACAGCACTACCAAAATGAATACATTTGAACAAAGAAAAGAAAGCAAAGTTATTCTATCTAGAGAGTAGTTTGTGCCACAGCAAAGTGTTAAAGAAGGAAGAACAGGAGTAAAATCTATTTAGCAGAAATGGTGGCTTTTATGTGTTAGAGACTGTTTTCATTATAATTCCCTCCTCCCCCTTTAGAATAATACAATTGTAGGGCGTGAAGGGACCTCAGGAAGTCATCTAGTCTACTCCCCATGCTGAGGAAGGACAAAGTGTACCTAGACCATTACTGACAGTTGTCTGGAAGTTTTTAGGAACAAGATAGATAGTGGTAGAGATTCCACAATCTCCCTTTGCAACCTGTTCCACTTTCATCACAGTTAGAAACATTTTCCTAATGTCTAACTTAAATCTCCTTTGCTTTAGATTAAGCTGATAAATTCCTCTCATACCTTCAGTAGACATGGAGAACAATTTATCTCTTCCTTCTTTCTAACTTACTTGAAAATTGTTAATAGGTCCCATTTCACTCTTTTTCTGAAGACCAAACATATCCATTTATAGCCTTTCCTCATAATTCAGATTTTCTAAATCTTATAATTTTTGTTGCTGTCCTCTGGACTCTCTCCAATTTGTCCATACTTTTCTTAGAATGTTTTGATCAAAATTTAACACGGAAATCTAGATGATGCTTCACCAGTGCTGGGTAGAGTGAGTCATTTACCTCCCATGCCTTACGTACCACAATCCTATTAATACACCCTGGCATAATATTAGCCTTTTTTGCAACTACATCACTTTTTTTAGTCATATTCACGTTGTGATCCACTGCACATTCTTTTCTTCATTACTATTACATAGCCAGTTATTGCTCATTTTGTGTTTGTGCATTTCCTTCTTACTTCACATTTGCCTTCACTGATTTTCATGCTGTTGATTTCAGATCAAGTCTCCAAAGTGTCAGAGTTGTTTTGAGTTCTAGTACTATACTCCTTTGCAACCCCTAGATAACTTGGTGTCAATTCATACATTTTATAAGTAAGCTCTTTGCTGCTATCTTAATCATTAATGAAAATGTTGAGTAATATCAGACCCAAGTCTGATCCCCTTCCCGTGCGTTGCATTAGATATAGCCTCCCAGTTTGACAGTGAACCATTGATTATTATTCTTTGAATTAGGGAAATACTTATCGGATAGTTGACAGGCTAGTCGACTAGTCGCTCCCCCACCTCGCTGCCTTTATCAGAAAGAGGCAGCAAGGGGGGAGGAAGCGGTGGGGGTACTTCAAAGCAGCAGTGCTGCATGGGACTAGACCCCGGGCACCATGCGGTACTGCCACTTTGAAGCGCTGCATGCTGCTCAGGGCCAGCTGGGGTGTCCCCAGCTGAACCAGGACTCCACGGGGCACTGCGCTTTAAAATGCTGCGAGGAGCCTGACATTGGGATCCCAGTGGAGTTTCAAAGCAGCAGCACTGCATGGAGCCTGGGATTGGCGGGGGAGTCCCTAGCTGACCCCGGGCTTACTCAGTATTTAACATCCCTACTTTGAATACTTTTTTTAATACCTCATGCACAGACCTTATGGTAAACCATGTTGGCTATTACTTAACACCGTGTGATCTTCCAAATGCTTACAAGTTGGTTGTTTGATTATACGTTCCATTATCTTTCCACATATTGAAGTTCAGGTGACTGGATTATAATTCCCCAGGTCCCCTTTGTTCCCTTTTAAAAAATAAATATTATATTTGCCCTTCTTTAGTCAAATCTTCTCAAATCTCATCCATTCTCCAATAGTTCCTGGTGGTTGCTTCAGCTAATTTCTCTAGTGCTGTAGGGTGAATTTCATTCAGGCAAGGTGATTTGAATATATCTGATTCATCAAAATATCCTTTAACCAGTATTTTGGCTAGTGTTCGTTCCCCCTTTTTCACAGTCTCTTTATTTATTTGTCATTTTGTTTACTGTCTTTGCTTCCTTTTTAGTCTGTTTTTGTCATTGCTTGTTCTTCACTCTTTTTTGGGTCTTTCATAAGCAGAGTGCAAAACAAGTAACAACAGGTTTGGAGTCAAATTTCTGAACCTATGATGTCTAAATGGGCTAGAAATTAGGCTCAACATGTTTCCACATTCCTATTATGAATGACTACACAAACAAAGTTTATGGCTAATTTAATCAATTTTAAGTTAACGTTTTATGAACCTCTACACATTCAATTTGAATGAACATCCAAAAAACTTGGTAGTTTATCTGAAGACTTTTGGGTTTGGCATTCTCATTAGAATAAGCTTCATCACAAGATTTCCATTATTCTTCTGCTTTGACCTTATTGGACTAATTAATAATTTGCACTTGTTTAATGCCTCGTATTCAGTTATCTCAAAGTGCAAAGCAGTCACAATTATCTGAAACTCAATAGTCTAAAACCCCTCCTACTTAAAAAGTGGGTCTTATTTCCCAGGAATTCCAGGTAACTGTGGCTGTGGCTGGCACATTGCTCTCTTGTGGACTGCTTCCTCTTGTTTCAGTTTGTTCTCCTGGTTGCAGACAGCTGGCCCATGGTTGGCCAACTCAACAGGTTTTCAGCGCACAAGAGTCTGTGCATTGTAATCTCTTCATTGTTCTAAAATTTATAAACCTCATGGAGAAGACTGACAGCTGTCTAAGTCAACACACTTCAGTGTTTTAGGTGACCAATAGAGCTGAGTAAATAATTGATTTTTTGATTTGGTAACTGAACTGAAAAATCCCCTTTTCTCAATATTTGATTTAGGTTAACCTGAAATGGAATTTTGCCTTTCAAAAGTGTTGCAATGAAATGTTTTTTTCTGCTCCTCCTCTATTTTCCAGTAGTCATGTTCTGGCTTTTGGCTGAGTTTAACCTGCATTTTGCCTTTTTAAACATAAATAAAAATCCGTATGTATAATTTCAAAAGTGTTGCAATGAAATGTTTTGACAATAAAAAAATCTTTTTTTTTCCATTTGAAACTGTTTTCCAATTTCAGATGGAATTCACTAATAATTTTGGTTGTCCTTAAACTTCCTTTTTAAATGAATAAACTACTTGCAAAATTTTGCCCAGCTCTAGTGACTGGCAGCAATGTCTCTGCAACGACTTGTCTCAATCTGATTGTCCTAGAAGATGGAGCTACATTTGAGAAGGTCTTGGACTGTCATAGCAGAGTGGGGGAGCTCAGTCACTGTGAGTGTCAGCAGTTAAAGAATTATACATTGAAGTGCTATGTAGCTGGCCATTCTTGAGTTCATCATCATGGCATTCTCTAATAAACGAGATGATTCAGAAGTCGTTGAAATCTGTGTATAGAGTCAGGAGGCTCTGAAGACTCTGAACATAGGCTTGTAGACTATAGATTTCAAACTTAAACTAGTACCTATGCTTAAGACCCCAATAAGTCAAAGGTTTTTATTGAGTCTTCTGAGACCTTTGAATAATCAAGGTTATACTATGTTACTTACATATTACAACATCCCTGTAAAATAGATAAGGGCAAAAGAGGGATCAGTCCTCCTACTTCTAGGTTGATAAAATGACAGGTGTTTTAACAGAGCACAGCAAAACTACAGAAAAGTTAAAGGCAGGGAGACCAAAAAAAAAAAAAAAAAGCGTTCAACCAATTTAGTAGTAGTGGGAATTTAGGTAAACATTAGAGATGTAAAATCCCATTTAATTGGTTAACTGGTTAAACATGATGTTTAACTGGTTAACCACTTAAAGGAGGGCAGTGAGCATGGCTACTTTTGACCATGGTGGGCCCAGGCGCATTGCAGGCAGAGCTAAGCCAGAAAACCAGGCTTATTACTTATATGAAAAGTGCCATGAGAACATCAATTGTAACAAATGGCCCAGATTTTCTTTTTATATGCCAATCTAAAAAGATCAATACTATTGGAATCAGCTTCTGTAAGGCATTTCAGTATATACCTACCACAGATGTGCAAAAATTAAATTATGCTGTACACAAGGGGAAAAATGTCGGTTCAGGTTTTGAGCAACAGTTCTCATTGCTTTTTAATCTAAATCAGTTTTGCATATCCTTATTTAGAAAGATTAACATTGCTACTCTTTAACAATAATTATAGACACAGACTGGAGCAGTTAAGAAACTCAGAAGTTCAGTAGGAATGCCTGGTTGTGAACCAGATGCAATATTAAAACTCTTAAAGGTTTGTCCCACTTTAAGATGATGGTAACTTGTGGAACTAAAAAAATGTAGAGAAAGTGAGGAGGCGATAAATTAAGAGTACTTTAATTGCCAGTAGGCTCAAAACACTTAGGCTGCAAGAGGGACCCTCAGCAACTACACAGAACATTAATTCAAATATTTGAACTGGTATCAAAGCCTTATTGTGAAGGGTCAGTGCTAAAATATGGAACATACGGAAGCTGTTGCCTGTGAAGATATTCACTTACAGAGATGCAGCAGCCAGCCAGGAGCTGTAAATGATTGCAGACTTTCTGCCTGTACCATATGCTTTTGAAAAGTAATCTTAAAAAGAGAAGAAAACCCACAAATTATTTGTTGAACTAGATCTTTTGATATTTGATTAATTGCTAAAGATTTTCTTTGTAACTTCTCTGTTTTCCATACGTGAACACAGAAGCAACCTATTTCATATTTATCAACAATTTTTTTAAAAACGGTGTTCTAATGTGGGGCGACTTTGATCTTAATGTGAATTCTAAAACAAAGAGTCATCTCAGGAATGGGCTAACATAGTGGTTCCCAGCCTTTTTCATACCACAAACCGTCAAACCCTTTCACAAACTTCTGGCGGATGGGTAGCATTTTATTTGCATATTTGCACATTCATCATGGTAATTAATTTTAAGAGGTCATGTCTTGTTTTACATTGCATCTGTACGCACACAATACATGTCGGTGTAACAGATCAGAGTTTGCAGATATCTGCAACACTAAAAAGAGTCTGTTAAAAAAATCCTTTCCTTTCTTATCTTGAGCCATTAACACCTCTGTAAGCTTTAAAATTATCATGCAAACGACATGAGCTAGGCCTTTTGTTCTGCTCCTGCCAAAACATTGAGACATAAAGTAACTTCCCTTCTTCAACTGTTACTCTGGCCAGAGGGAAACAAGTTAGACACCCCAAACTCCCCTCTGTCCCCCCCTCACTGCACTAGTCCCCATCCCTGGAGAGAGGAAGACACGCACAGTTAGGCCCCCCCCCAGCCTGTATGCCCCACACATGAACTGGGCAGAGTGGCTCCTGCCTAGCTGGCACCCCTGGGGAGGGCAGGAGCAGCTGCAGCATGAGAAGCCATGATGCTCCCACCCACCTCCAGGACTGGGGGACACACACAGGGCAGGTGGGAAGGTCTGACTCCACAGGGGGTCTCGGTCAACAGCCAGGGTCCCCCTGGAGGTCCCTCCACAGCTGCCCCAGCAACAGTTGCGTCTGTCCCGCCCAGGCCATGCTGCTGCTACATGTGTTCACCCCATGTATGGGCTTGTCAAGGCATGGGCATGGCCTGGCAGGCAGCAGTTCCAGTCCGCAGACCAGCATTTAGGAACCACTGGGCTAACATATATAACAAAAGAAAATGAACACCTTTTGGAAAAGAATAGCCCAAATTATTAACCTCAAAATATTGATTCTTAGGCATTTTAAAAGCCAGTTCTAGTGCAAGTGTTCTTGAGAGGTTATGGAATAAGAGAAATAGTCCAGCTTCAAAATAAACACAGTGAAGTAAGTAAAACAACACTGGCCAGATGGCACAGTAAGGGCTGCTCTACACTACAAGATGAAGTCTATCTAAGATATGAAATTTGAGTTATGACAGTAGCATAACTTAAGTAGACAAAGCTTAGATCTACTTACCATAGTGTTCACACTGTGCTCTCCCATTGATATGGGTGGTCAGTGAAGGTAGGGCTGGGGGAGGCAAACCCCTCCTCCATCTCTGCCCCTTACATTGAGGTCCTGCCCCCCCATGGAAGCCAAGCTGCTTCCCCACTGCCCCACCAGGGGGAGGCTGGGCAGCATGCCATGCTTCCCACCACTACAGAGAGGGGAGGAGGGCAGCAGCATGCATCCCCAGCCGCCCCAGTTCCAGAGCATGGGGTAGGAAGGCAGGATGGTGAACAGGCACCATGTGTCTCAGCTTCCCTGACCCTGGAGCAGGGATAGGGAGGGTGGCGCATGGCTCAAGCCTCCATGGCCTGGTGCATGGGGAAGGTGGGTGGCACACAGCCCCAGCCTCTCCAGCCCTAGAGCATGGGGAGGGTGGGCGCTGGGGGCAGCAACACTCCACCCCCAGAATGCCTACAGTATGAGTATGGGCGGGGCCAGGCTGGCGGTTTGGGAAGGCAAAGCCTTTCCCCGCCTATTATACCAGACACCCATTCCCGTCAACTCCCATTACTCATCTCATTCTGGTGGAGAACTAGAGTCAATGTCTGAGTGATCAGCAGTTGATTTAGTGGGTTTTCACTAGACCCACTAACTAAATTGATCCCCGGTGGACTGGTCAAAATGTTGATTTCGGCTGCCATGGAGACATGTCCATAGGGTGAATTTCAGATAAGAACATAAACATAAGAACATAAGAACGGCCGTATTGGGTCAAACCAAAGGTCCATCTAGCCCAGTAGCCTGTCTGCCGACAGTGGCCAGCACTAGGTGCCCCAGAGAGGGTGGACCGAAGACAATGATCAAGCGATTTGTCTCCTGCCATCCCTCTCCAGCCTCTGACAAACAGAGGCCAAGGACTCCATTTTATCCCCTGGCTAATAGCCTTTTATGGACCTAACCTCCATGAAATTATCTAGCTTCTCTTTAAACTCTATTATAGTCCTAGCCTTCACAGCCTCCTTTGGCAAGGAGTTCCACAGATTGACTACACGCTGTGTGAAGAAGAACTTTCTTTTATTAGTTTTAAACCTGCTCCCCATTAATTTCATTTGGTGTCCTCTAGTTCTTCTATTTAGGAAACTAATAAATAACTTTTCTTTATTGGCCCTCTCCACACCACTCATGATTTTATATACCTCTGTCATATCCCCCCCTCAGTCTCCTCTTTTCTAAACTGAAAAGTCCCAGTCGCTTTAACCTCTCCTCATATGGGACCCATAATAGGATAATTGCTAGTACTTGTGTTTATCACTTACCTGAGCAGTCATTCATTCACAGCTGGACTGTGACCACACTTCATTCACACACGCAAACGATGATTCTTAGTTGCTGTCAATCTATGACAGATTCATAGAGATTAAAGGTTAGAGACCAGATCTAGAGATAGCACTGCCATCCTCAAGGGTCAGTTTTGTTATGGTAGTAGACATGAGTCACCTGTGGACATACTTTTCATGTTTAGATGGCGACCCCTTACAATGGCCAAGTTGGAACCAAGATAAGCAAACTAGAATCTCTCTCTCTCTCTCTCTAAGCAAGACAGAGAGAACATGTATTATCCTTTTCTTTTTTAGGAATTCTCCCTTTCCCCTTTATAATGATATAGGACTTGTTTTGATTTTTTTCTTGTGGAACACAAATCAATTGGGGTTAATACAGATAGCTCTTAATAGCCCAGTGGCCTTCTTCTATCCTGTTAAAGTTCCCATAAAACTGCCAGATTCCTGTTGCCACATTTTAAAATGTCCCTGTTCAGTCTAATTCCACTTTGTGCATGATAGTTAAATTTCCAAGATGTCAGATGGGAGTTATTTTAGACAATATACGGTATTTTTCCTTTTTATTAGGTTACACTACCTTTTTTTGTTTTTTTTTTCAATAATGCTTCGTTAAATAATAATGAAGAAAAAATGACATCTCAGAGGAAAATGCTTGCTTTTAATCATTGTTTTAATACAAAATACTGAAATAGAAAAAACTCACTTAGACATAGCTTTCCACTATTTACCAGAATTATCAAATACAATCAGCATATCTTTCTTTGTGATTCTGTGACACATAACTCAGTAGCATGGTCCCATAGAAAGAACTGATGCCTTTTTTTTTACACTGCTATGTGTCTGTATCTGTCTCTACTGCTTCCCCGCTACGACCACAGTTACTTGCAATATTTGTACTGTACTAGAATGTATAGTATCGATGCCTAGAGACTATAAAGAGCAATGGACTGGAATTCGGGAATCTCATTCTGTTCCCATCTCTTTCCCAACGTGCTCATGACATTGCTTGGGTAATGTATCCTCTCCCTCTTTCCTCGTAACATTTTTAAAATGAAACAGCCACCTAAAAGAGAAGGTGTTTTGCAAGTTACCGTATACTCTTATGAGTTTGCTTGGCTGCACAAATGATCTTTACATTTGCCTGCTAAATGCATTTCTTATTCACTATATTTTTGTTTTCATTTAGATCCTGAATTTGCTTGAAGTTAGTAAAGATCCTAGATATAAGACTAACAAACTCCGAGTGCAGAACAGGAAACAGCTTATTGAAATATTATCAGCCCGGTAAGTTTATTAAAGTGGAGAATATTACTGTAGTACACTAATCAACATGGTAACAGTAAATGTCTCATCATTTTCAAATTTCAATCTTTTGGAGTATTTTCTTTTTGTAATTTATTTAGACACTTACATGAACCGTATTCTTAAGAGGAGTATCTGACTAGTAGGTGAGTAAGGCACTAAGTAATAGCTTTGCATTTCTATTACTGAGTGCCTTTAGTAACCTGGACCTCATTTAGGAAGGCTGTGCTTTCCACTTGCACTTCTGGTGAGTTGTGGATAAGGGTCAGTTTTGTACAGAAGGCTCTTGGTGTTGAATTTGCTGCTTTCAGGGCTGGAATTAGAAGTTTGTTCTGAGGGCCCTCAGTCCCAAGGGATCTTCTGCTGTGGAGATCTTAATCTTCTGTTTCTACAGTAAGTTAACTTGTGCGTCTCTGGTCACCTTCTTGGCTTAGTCCTTATGTTTTTGAACACCACACTCATTGACCTCATTGGTCCATGTGGAACACAAAATAAAGGGTCACCCTCCTAAGAAAAAGTCTCTTAAAGCTCCTGAAAGACTTGTGATCTCTTATTTTAGATTTTCTAAATGCCCTGAAGATCATCCTAGTATGTTTAAAATGTCATGTCTGTGGTACCCTCCTCTACTTAGATGAACAAGATGATGATAATGAAAAATAGAAGGAGGAATACTGCTAGAGCCATCTATTTGCTTTGTGTGCTGTTCTGAATAAGAATGTGGGCTACTCATCTGTATAACCAAACACACAGCCCACTTCACCAGGTCTGAGAAGTTGTTGGAGTGAATAGCAGAGACATTAAGTCTTGAGCCCTCAGTGATCCAAGAAAAGGCACTGCAACAGTTTTGATTCTTTTTAAAGATGGAGCATGTGTCAGTCCCTATAATTCTCTATTAGTGCACTAGAAACCTCCTTTCCACTTCACCTGGTTACGGAATGTTTTGGTACCAACTCTCTTTTTTTTTTAAATTGTAATTAATAGGGATGTTAAATTTGATTAATTAACTAATCAAATAGACAATGGGATTTCCATTGACTATTCGATTAGTCTATGAGGGTGCCTCGGCCTTTGAACTTTAGCAAGAACCCCTCAGGGAGCATGGGAGCAGCAGCGCTCCGTGCAGCGCCTCAGCTTTTGAAAGGTATAAGAGTCCTGGCAGGGCTCTTGTACATTTCAAAAGGAAGCTCCACAGGGATAGCGGGGCACTCCCCCACTGGCCTTGCCTCCCTGCAGCAACTGAGCCTTAAATGTACAAGAGCCATGGTGAGGCTCTTCTACATTTCAAAAGGAAATCCTGTAGGGAGTGTGGGGCTTCTGCTTTTGAAAGCAGAATCACAATTGACTACCCGACATAGTCAATGAAGCTGGGATTTAATTATCCCCGGCTTCATTAAAATAAAAATGGCCACCACGCTGTGCTGGCTCAGCTGATCGTCGGCACAGCGCGCAAGTCAAGACACGGATCAGTCAACAAGGGAAGCCTTTGTCGACCACTCCCTTATGCCTCATGAAACGAGGTTTACAGGAGTGGTCGACAAAGGCTTCCCTTGTCAACTGATCCGTGTCTTGACTTGCGTGCTGTGCCGACGATCAGCTGAGACGGCACAGTGCGATGGCCATTTTTATTTTAATGGAGCCAGGAATATTTAAATCCTGGCTTCATTGACTATGTCGGGTAGTCTAATTTACATGCCTCTGACAACAGAGGCATGTAGTCTAGACATACCCATGGGGTTGCATCCCTCACTAATGCTAAGAAAGCTGAGCATGTATAACTGAGGGTTCAAATTCTGTGTTCCCCTCTGTAAAGCTCCAAGGCTGGTTTGGGGCTATTATTTGAAAATTATTATTTTTTCTGTGTATCTATTAAGTTTATATGGCACATATTCCAGATGTTCTGTACGGGTGAGGATCATAGCCAATACAGAGTTCTCCTGTTTGGACACTAAGCAGCTCCAACCATATTTGCTAATTGCCTAGCTATACTTTCAACCCACTTCTGAGGTATACATACTCATGCTTGAACCATTCATTGAGGTGGAGAGAAGTCCTTTTGTGACTCTCACTCTGTCAAGTTCAGATACCTATGCAGCAAAATATGAATAGGGTATCAATCACAACGGTCTCTGATAATACCCTGAAACAGTCAAGATGCGGTAGACAATTTCGCAAGGATGCCTTTAATCCTCTTTTATCCATTGTCTCTCATTGTAATGCTTAGAATGCATGGGGCTTGCTTAGATCATCCCACAGTACAATCATGTTGTAAATCTGAAGAGAATAAGTATCATAATAAATAATATGTAAATATAAAAATTGTCAAGAGACGTTCAGCTATCTTGCAATGATTTCTTTGCTTAAATGAGGGAACAGGCTAATGCACATCTTTTCGGACAATACTTAAGCCACAATGTATGTAACTGTATGAACTGGCAGGGATGAGAGCTTTTTCTTAACCATGCTACTGAGGGGGAGGGGATGTCAGGTTCTGCAAATGGTAGGTGTGTCATCTTGTCACAACTCTGCCATTTTCCAGGAAGATGGACATCATCTTGACATTTATTCTGAGAAAAATTCATTGCTCAGATAGTTTCTCAAGCGAGCGATAGGACTTTTGTCTTTCACGAGTAGGGAAAATGTCTTAGACTCTTTGCAACAAAAGAGAAGATGGAGGTTCTCTGATTGTGTTTCAGAGGTGGTTGAGAGTCTGTCTGTTCTTCTTCATGACTAGATTTTGTGTCTTCCTTCCAGTACCTGGGTCATCAGGAAGTTCAAACAGCGCAGAGTTCCTGCAGTGTTAATACAGTAGTTTCTGCTTGGTACATTGATTCTCAATCTCAGACTTCCTAGGTCTGACACATCTCCTGTCCAGAACACCAAAGTCGTGATAATCTGATACTACCATGATGTGAGCCCTAAAAGTTCTCAAAGAGGCTCTTCATCCAGATTCAGTATTTCTACTCTTGGTGGACTTGGGTCATAGCTTGTTGTTGAGTTCTCATTTGGGCTCTTCCCAGGAAGCTTAACATGTCTCACTTGGAGCCTTCAGAAGGAGAGACTTATGACTCCAGTTTTACTTTGTGTTTTAAGGAGCATTGTTAGCTTTTCGCTTCCACTGCCTCTCTAAGGGTATGTCTACACTACCACCCTAGTTCGAACTAGGGTGGTAGTGTAGACATACCCTTAGAGAGGCAGTGGAAGCGAAAATACGTGGCACGGACTAGGAAGCCTAGTCTAAGGTCTCCCAAAAGAATGTACAAAGGTTGAAAATCTTTGCACTGAAGCTGATATGGCAGCCAGATGAATTTACAAAATCCTTGTTGTCAGATTATATGGCTGCCATATGGACTTTGACAGCGCTCCAGAATAATTCAGGGTGCTTTAGTGGTAACAAATATTACAAACTTAGGGTATGTCTACACTACCACCCTAGTTCGAACTAGGGTGGTAGTGTAGACATACCCTAAGTTTGTAATATTTGTTACCACTAAAGCACCCTGAATTATTCTGGAGCGCTGTCAAAGTCCATATGGCAGCCATATAATCTGACAACAAGGATTTTGTAAATTCATCTGGCTGCCATATCAGCTTCAGTGCAAAGATTTTCAACCTTTGTACATTCTTTTGGGAGACCTTAGTAAAGAATCTCCAAACAGCCACAAGCCCTGAACAAAAGACATTGAGACTAAAAAAGAGAATACTATCTACATTGCATGCCTCTATCTTTGTCTTTCACTTCTGACTTAAAACTTCGTTAGCCCCTCTTCTGCCAGGCTTCCTGGTAAAGATTTAAAGAAACAGCAAAGATGTCACCACACTATCATTAATATGTTTTTAAAATGGAGTAGTTCATTTTTTCTCACCTATTTTGTGAGCCACTCCTTTCTTGGGACTTAATTTTAGTGCATCCAAAACTAACAGTCTCATGGTTTTACAAGGATATATATGTATGGTAATAACCTAGAGTTCAGTTGATATCTTCAGTAGCTTGTCTTGGTGGCTAGATCTGTTGCTTAGTTTGGGAGTGCTGTTCTACCATCTTCGTTTAATTGCTAATCCTCATACTTGCTTCTTAAATGGACTGTTGCTGGTAGCTGCTCCTGAATGTAGGCTCGATGAACATAATACTTGAAAAAGAAAGAAGGCTGGTATTCAAGGTATGCTTGTTCTTTGGGATGATTTATACTTCCCACCTGCCTTTTTGACATCTCGTTTGCAACTGAATACAGATTAAGTGGACAGCAATTGATATAGAGTTGGGACTGTATGACTTCTTATATAATTTCATAATGAATGTTTGGTTCCTGCATCTCCTCCCCTTTCCCCCCCCAGGCATTGTTGTTTTCTAGAGTTTTACAGTGTTTGGCTTGGCACTGAAGGCAGATGTATTTCCCTATGAAGGGCACATTTGGATTGGCAGTCTAAGTACCAGCAGCTGTTTTCATTCCAGTAATCTTCCTTTTTTGTTAATAGGTGTTTCTTCTCTTCAAAGTCTTTATTGAATGCCAAAAGGTCCTCATGTTTTACAATTTAATTTCTCAGATTGTTTTATTAGCTTTTTTTTGTTTCTGGTTAGCTCTTTTTGTGACTGTCTCTCACATTCAGTTAATATAGAGAGTAACTCCTACGCAGGTATTTTCCCACTACTTCAATGATAAAAATGACTACAGGGAAAATAATGATATTCTCTGCAATCTCTGAATCCTCTTTGGTTTCCTACATGTAATACATTCTGGGGGTAGTAGTGAACCCATTGGTTCTCCTGCAAATTTCCTACTTGTGATCTGCTTCAGTGATGCTTTTTTAATTCCTTTGTATAACCTTAGTGATTATTTCATCGGTTATCTCATTGCCGCCTTGGTGTTTACATCTTGCTTGCCAAGGTTTTTTTCTATTACATGTTGCTTAGGCTGTGTCTACATTATGAACTAAGGGTTTTGGGAAGCTTTATGCTTGGCACTGGTAAGGAGTGCTATTGTTGC